TAACTTTTCTGTGAATAGATACTTTCAAGGGTGCACAACACCAATTTAATAAAAAGCGCCTTCTTCACCTTCATAGGCCTTTACTGCCGCATTTTTTAAGTTACCGACACTGTTAAGCACCTTCAGCTCTGATGGATGCAGTGTCCGTAACCAAATGATGAGCTGGTCGAAAGCACCCACTGTGTGTGGTGTGCGGCCGGCTGGGCAAGTCTGATGTTTTATTTAGAGCCTATATCAGAAGAGCCGTCTCTTATGCTCAGTGTCTTCAACTCAGCAAATAACCATACTGCATAAAATAAAGAGTGAGGTTGGTTTTTACTCAAATCCTGTCTCCTGCACAGTCCTTTTCAAAGAGTCGACTGAAGGGAAGGTCCCTGAGTGGTGCAGACAGACAGTCTGTGTCCGCTGGTTAAACACTAGAAGATGGAGTGTTCGAACCCCCCCAGTGCTCCCATGGAAGAGCCACGCCTGGGGGTCAGCGTCTGTAAAGATACGGCTGACCCGTGTCCGTGGCCAGCGGAGTCTCCAAGCGAACCCATCGGCAGCGTGGACCGCAGGGACACATCTTGGGTCAGCGTGTCTGGCTGTCACCGCCATGCGTGGCACCACCAGCCTTCTTCCTCTTGAAACCCCCCTCCTCTCAGCAGAGAGCCCTTCCAGTCGGTTGCCCAGCCTCCTGCCACCTCTGCAGCCACACGTAGGCTGGGGCTCAGCAAACCTCAGTAAAGGGCTGGAGAATAAGTATTCAAGGCTCGTAAGCCATCCAGTCTCCGTGGCAACTCAGCCCTGCCTTCAGGGGGCAGAAGCAGCCACAGGCGGTGCGTGGATGAGTGAGTGTGGACGCAAGCAGTACCACCTTCCATCCAGAGCAACACTGGGTTTCTGTCTCATTTCACGTATCGTGCGGTATTCTCTGGACTACGTTTGAACCATTTCAAAACAGAAATACCACATAGTCTGAGGGAGGATGCCCGGCAGCCCTGTGTGGCCTGGGAGCCATAGTCTGTGTGGTGGTTATGTTTGTGTGTCAGGTTGGCTGGGCCTGGTTGAGTGGCTGGGCAGCTGGTGGTAGTTATTCCCTATGATGAGACTGGCAGTCAGCTCTGTGGTGGGATCTACCACAAGCAGCTGAGTAGCTGCTTTTGGGATGTGGTCTGCTTCCTGTATATAAGGAGAAGCTTTGAGACTGGTCTCTAGCCTATGGGACGCTTGGACCCTGCATGTAGCCATGTCATTGCTCAGCGGCTGCCATGCTCTGCCGACCTTGGGACTTACAACGGACTTAAGTTAATGGCCTGCCTTGTGGTTTGGTAACATTGGGACTAAGCCCTTTTTACTTGTCAACCTTAGGGCTTCTCAGCCTCAGCAGCCAACAGCTGAATGAAGAAACGCCTCTAGCTCCAGTGGGCCGGGAGCAGGAGGCAGAGCTGGATCCCAAGGTTGAGGGGCTTTCACCCAGCCCCTAGAGCTTGGCACTTTGAACATGGACTCAAAGCCTCCAAATTGTCAGAATAAACTCCTGTTTGTTTAAGCCCATCCCATTTGTGGTATATGTTCCTGTCAGAGCAGCACTAGGGAACCAGAACACTCTGCCATCCCGTGCAGCCTGCTAAGAGGTCCTC